CCCCAAAACCCCAAAACCCCAAAACCCCAAAACCCCATCATATACATTAATCAATATTAAGGAACATAGATATTAATTGACTATCATTGAATTCTTTAAATTTTAAAAGATATCGCGTTCGAACAATAAATGAAAGCCACAGAATCAGTAGACGATAAGAATGGGAAATTCCCTAAGCTATCAGAAGAGAGTTTTGCAAACTGTAAGTCAACTCATAATAAATTCTTGAAATCTTTTAATCTCAAATAACTTAATCCCTTATTCTTACTTATTTTTTGTTTAGTCTTCAATCCCTCAAATCCAGTAGCCACAATCAGAAACATGACAGGATTAGGCAACAAGGATTTGATTGCCGGTATGATCGATAAGGTGAATATGTTGGTAGATGGAGGAGAATTGATATAGGTACGTACATCAAGCAAACTCAATATTTTTATAGGCAGCAGTAAGCTTTAATCAACCAAAAATGCTTGAGTACTACATTGAAAAAGGTGCCAAAGTCGATATGCCCCCAGAAACAGTTGGAAAGCTTTACACAGACACTAGCAAACATCAAGAGTACAGAAAAGCACCATTTATCATCCAGGCAGCCGCAATTGCTTCATGGGATGTATTCAATATTTTATTGAAGAAAGGCTGCAAGATTACTGAGCAAGGATATATAGGTTTATCTAAAAAGAGAAAGAATTAAGTCATCTCAAATGTGATTGGTGCTGCCGCTTATAACGGAAGAGCCGAGATCCTCAAGAATCTTGTAGGAAAACATCACTCTGGTCTTCTATTTGTTGACCATCCTTCAACTGAAAAGCTTGATTTTACTCAAAAGGGTACATTAACCAAAGAATTCACAGGATATACTCCATTAATGCTTGCAGTTGCTGGTGGCGGCTAAAACCTTGAATGTGTTAAACTGTTGATTTAAGCTAAAGCAGATACTGGTATTTTGGATCCATTAGGAAATACAATCCTGCACATTGCAGCTTCCTACTAAAACAATGAAGTTCTTGAATATTTGTTGAAGAATTCCTAAACAATGAATGTATTTGAGAGAAACCAGAAGGGTGAGACTCCCCTCTCTATTGTTCAAGAAAGAAAAGACGATAAAGCATAAAAGGCTATGAGACTTTTAGAAGAGTATGCCCAATGGTATGGCGATTAAACAAAAGAAAAAACTGATTAACTCTTGAATGACCTATTAGAAGAAGAAAATAAGGAAAAGCAGAAAAAGGCTAAGAATAAGGAAAAGAACAAGAGATAAAAGATAAGATAATTAGCTTAAAAGGAGGGTGTTAGCTATGAAGAAATGGAGAAGAAATTAGGAGAGGAGAAAGAGCAAAAGAAGCAAGAAGAGGAAAGAAAGAAAAAGGAAGACGATGAAAGAGCTTTAATAGAAGCTGAAGAAGAGAGAAGAATCTAGGCTGAAAGAATCAGACTCTTGCAAGAGGAAGAAAACAGAAGATAAGCTAAAAAGGTCAAGTTTGGAGAAGTTGAGTACTCTGATCAGCAATAGCAGCAGCAATAAGCACAACCTAAAGTTTAAGAAAAGAGAAGAGAAGAGCCAAGATAAGTTGATACACAACAGCCAGAGTATATGCAGACTTCATTTGCTCACTTAAAGGCTAAGAAGCCTGCCTAAACTGAGAAACCAGTAGTTAAAGAAACTGTAGTTGAGAAAGTCGCTCCTGTTGTTGAGGAGAAAAAGAAGGATGTTCCATAGGAAAACTTAATGAATAGAAAGCAAAGAAAGCAGATAGAGAGACAGAAGGAACTTGAATAAAGGCGCAAGGACAATAGATAAAAGGAGGATGCTCAAGAGGAAAAAGCTTTAAATAAGGGTGCAAACGAGGATGATGAAGATACTGAAGATGAGGCTACTTAAGCTGCAAGCAATTAGGTATGGGGTCTAGAATCAGAACTTAAATTAAAGACTCTTGCTAACCAAAAAGCAAGAAGAAGACTCAGAAAGAAGATGGAAAAATAGCAAAAAGAGGAGTAAGATGTGAGAGACAAGCTCAAGAAGTTGGCTGAGGATAAAGAAGCTGAGTTAAAGAGGCAACAAGAGGAAGAGGAGGCAAAGCTTAGAGCCGAAGAGGAAGAAAAGAATAAAAAGTACACATATTTCAAGCCTCAAGATAAACCTCAATACAGAGTCAAAACTCAAAAGGAATAAGAGTAGTTGCAATAATAAGAGTAAGAGCAGTTATAAAAGTAGGAATAAAAGCCACAGAAAGAGAAACCATAAAAGAAGTAAAAGGAGCCAAAAGTTTAAGAGAAAATGGTATATAGACCTAAGCCAAAAGCACAGCAAACAGTAGAGACTGCTAATGAGGATACTAAAAGTCAGACCTAAGATCTTCAAACAAATACCCAAGAGACCTCACAAATTGAGAATGGCGATCATCATCAATATCTTTTGGCCAAATAAGAATAATAATAGGTAAAACAATAAATAATTGAGAGTCAAGTCCCTCCTACTCAGCATCAATAGCCACATCAACACTAGCATGAAAAGCTTCTCACTCCCCCAAGCTCACCAACCAAGCTAAATGAAGTTACTCTCCTATAATAATAGCAATTATAGCATTAGTAATTCTTGCAACAATAATAGCAATTTATGGCTCTGATGACTCCACCAGGAATGCCACCAGCCTTTGGTCTTCAAAGCAACTAATCAATTATGCCAAACGAGCTTATTCACTAACATTTACAACAGCTCTAGGTGATTATTCTTTAGAAGGATAATGATATTCATCTTTTAAACAGCAAAATGGTATTGCTTGAATAGTAACTTCAAGCAAAGGCTTTGGAGCAAAATTCAGAGGATAAAGAACTCAAGAATCAAGTTAATCATTTGAATGATTTGTTAATGAAAGAGAGAGCTATGACTCATATGCTTAATGTAAGTTTAAATTTTTCAACATAAAATTATATAGAATTAACTCCTTGATGCTTAAAGAACTTTATCTGACGAACAATCAAGAAGAAAAGAGACTGATGACAAATATAACACTCTATTGAATGAAACTTAAGGGCGTCAATCTACCACAAGTTCAGAACATGATCTCCTAGACCTAGCTAATCTAGAACTTAGAGCAAAAGAAAGATCATTAAGAGATGTCCAGAGAAAGAACGATATTTATGAGGGAAAGAACCTTGAGACTAAGAATAAATTGGACCTTCAAACTGCCCAAAAGCAACTTGCAGATGCTTTAAAGATTATCAATCTACTTCTCGAAGGCAAAAAGCAATGACAAATTTAATAAAGATTCTTATTTTCATACTCTAATAATCAAATTAATCCTTTCCTTCAACCATCAATCCTATTCTAGTATTTCGGGGTTTTGGGGTTTTGGGGTTTTGGGG